TGTGTACACTTGTCCATTTTACGTAGGCAAAAACAGTCATTCCTTCATATCAGCTTTAGCGTGGTTGTAGACCATATCCCTCCATGCATCCCCATGCTGGTTTTACACAAAGGCATGCCTTTACCCAGACGCGTAACAGGATGTCCTGCCATAACTTTGAAACTCCTCCCACTTAACTGGATAATTATAGGGTTCACTGAACAGCTAAACTACATTACTCATAAGCCATCTCTTAAGGAGACAGCGCTTAACCCTTGAAATGCCAAGCATTCTAACATACAGTTCTCAGCTAACTGGCTGGTCCACAACAGTGATGATGGCTGTACGCTGATGACCGGATCCCCTTTTGTGTCTCCTCTCCCCTTTGCGTTGCAGGGCCCGAACGGAGGATCGTCCTGGTGGGCAAAACCGGCAACGGGAAAAGCGCGACGGGGAACACCATCCTAGGAGGCAAAATCTTTGACTTTGGGATGTCCTCTAAGTCGGTAACGGAGACGTGTCAGAAAGAGGAGACGTGGTCGAACGGCCGGAAGATTGTGGTGGTTGACACGCCGGGCTTTTTCGACACCGAGATCCCGGCCCGGGAAACGGCTGCCGAAGTGAAGAAGTGCGTGAGCATGTGCGTCCCGGGCCCGCACGTCATTCTGCAGGTGATGCGTCCGGGCCGTTTCTCCAAGGAGGAGAAAGACGTGGCCAAGCTGATCAGTGAGATCTTCAGCTTGAACGCCAAGAATTACATCATCACCTTGTTCACCCGGAAAGATGACCTGGAAGGGCAATCCTTGGAGGAATTCCTCTCCAAGGGAGACGCCTCGCTTCGGGAACAGTTGGCCAAGTGCGGGAACCGCTACCTGGCTTTCAACAACAAGGCCATAGGCGATGAGCGGGAGGAACAGATGGCCGAATTGATGACCATGATCGATGAGCTGGTGCAGAAGAACAAAGGTGCAAATTATTACACGGAGGCCATGATGAAGAAAGACGAAGAGCAGTATAAGGCGAAAAATTACTCCTGGTGTTCTATTCTCTAATGGACACCGGGAGACACGCCGAAGGCAGACATAAACAACATCAAAGAAATATGTGCCTTCTCTTGGTGTTCTCTAACGTAGGGGTCCCCAACCCCCGGTCCACAGCATGCCAACAACCTTTCCACAAAAAACAAGCAAAGCCCCATCCGCGGGATGCAGGCGGCACACAAAACCACATATTCTCCGGGTCTGCGGAAAAATCTCTCTCCACATAACCGGTCCCTGGTGCCCAAAAGATTGGGGACCTCCGCTCTAACGGACACCGGCAAGCCTCTCTACTTGATCCTCTGCTCCAAGGGGGCCGCTCTGCCCTGCGCTTCCCCCCTTCTGCTCAGAGTTCTAATCCAGCCCTCGCTGGGAGACCGCCCAAGACGCCGAGTCCGAGATTCATGGCGGAGTCACCCTGAGCCGATTCCTTTTCCGAAGAACCCAGTTTCTCCCCTCAAATGACAGGACACGGGAAGATCCTGCCCTCAACCGGCCCCACAGCCTATATCTCCGCCATCCTGAACCCAGGTCCCTCTGGAATTACACTCCGTTTGGGACTTCCCATTCATCAGTCCTTCAAGTTAGACCAGACCAGGAAACCGCAAGAAATATTAAAGCTCGGCTTGATTCGATATAGAGAATACCAGCAGAATCCTGAAAGTGTCTCCCCTTCGCTCCCGCTGGCACCAAAGAGCATCAAGGCAGGGCAGCCTTGAGCTTCTTTCTCACCCGTTCCTGTTTTCCCGGGGTGAATTCACGTTTTCCTTATAGGGCTGCCACATATTTCCTACAAGGCCATCTCTGTACTCTTCCATGTCGCCCTCCAATGGCTAATGGGGACTCACGAAGGAAATACTTTCTGTTTCAACCTGAAACCTTATTATTAAATCTCCTTCTCGCTTATGAACGAGGCCGTGTGTTTTGACGGGGGGATTTGAGGGAGAATGGCCCAGTTGGTCCTCTCCTGCCTCGCCGGGTCCTCGCAGCAACACACTCACAAAGCGGAGTGGGAGCGAGACAGGGAATGAGGCGAATCTACTCAAGGGGTGGGTCAGTATGGAGGGTCTCTCCCGAAAGCTTTCCAACTTGGCAGGGTAGCCTTGAGCTTCTTTCTCACCCCTTCCTGTTTTCCTGGGGTGAATTCACGTTGTCCTAAGAGCTGCTACATGTTTTCTTTGGAGCGTCCCCGTCCGTCAATCCTTCAAGGTAGACCAGGCCGAGAAACCACCGACACAAGAAATAGTAGACATTGTCGGTACCGATTATAGTAGCAGAATCCTGAAAACGTCTCCCGTTTGCTCCGCTGGCACCAAAGAACATCAAGGCAAGTCATCCTTGAGCTTCTTTCTCACCCGTTCCTGTTTTCCTGGGGTGAATTCACGTTTTCCTGCTACATTTTTTCTTTGGAGCTTCCCCGTCCGTCAATCCTTCGAGGTAGACCAGGCCGAGAAACCACCGACACGAGAAATAGTAGACATTGTCAGTACCGAGTATAGTAGCAGAACCTTGAAAGCGTCTCCCCTTCGCTCCCGCTGGCACCAAAGAGCATCAAGGCAAGTCATCCTTGAGCTTCTTTCTCACC